AGACCAGGGTTACCCAATAGGAAGTTTAATTTTTAGTAGCTATCAATGGCTTTACCATCATTAAGACACATGAAAATGTATTTTATATTATGTGCATGTGTGATTCACAGTTCTCTTGTTTTGGCCAACAGATTTCATGCCAGGGAAATACTGCAGAATGTGCAAGTTATTGGGATTTTTTTTGTTTGGGGTTTTTGGGGTTTTTTTGGCTAGAACTGGTATTTAGTGTTAGCATGCCTGGATACCTCCCTGAGGATTAATTTATCAAACACTAAATAAAACATGTCTTCTGACTGTTTTCTTTTTCCTAGTGTTTATTTTCCATGCCAATAGAGAGGTTACTTTTTTAAATAGAAAGTGGAGGGAAAGCAAGAAGAAGACTTAATAGGAGAAGAAAGATGCTGAAGAAATGAGGGATGGGGAGATGGTCTATTGTGCACCAATCTATCACTTTCTCTTGGGAGAATAAGGAAATGACTTGTCTATAAAATTCTCATTAGCCTAAAATAAGCAAAAATCTCTTCTGGAATCTTATTAGGCAATGTCAAATTGAGTAATAAAGGCTTGCTTTTAATGAGCTCCTGAGGACACTGGTTGAGCTTTAGCACTACTAAACTGTCTCTCACAGTCTGTTTCCCTATCTTCATGATACTGCTCTGTGCTGGGATGTCTGGGGAAGAAAAAAAAAAGGGTCATTTAACATTGTTACTAGATTTGGAAAAACAAATGGCTTCCTGATTGTCAGCTTGTGCACGTGCCAATAACAAAATCTGCTATAATTTGCCTCTCTTGTTACTCCAGTCCAATTCCATATGAGGATGTTTGTTTTGGAATTGAATTTCTCTCTTTCAAATTACATGAGCCAAAGGTTGGTTTATTATATTTGAAACTGAGGTGCTCAAGTAAGGCATGAACAACATTGAAATAAAGTAGCTAAATTGCTAAATTAGAAGTGATTTCACTTTTTTATCATCATTTTTTGTGCAGGAATGGCTCAAGTCTAGAGAATCATTTTGCCTTTATGAGGTGACCGGGAGGTAATTGGCAGTTTCCACTGCATATACAACAATTGACCAACTTCAAAGTATCCAGTGGTTTGGTTTGATTCAGATAAGCAACTTTCAGCTTGCATGTTTGTCCAGGACTTATCTGAACTATTTTGGTTGAAGTAGGTAATAAGAACAAAACCTACAACTAACTGGAAGTTAATATTTTACATTAATATAACACCAACTTTTCTTACAGAAAGAAGCAGGAAGGACTAAAACATTAGGACACACTCCTTGACTGATATGAATCACCTTAGCACCATTAAAATTGATGTAGACCACTGATATTTGACTTCCTTCTGTATGTGGAATCCTAAAGGTTTTCCTTATGGGTATATGTCATGGGATCAAATTTACCTATTAATGTCAAATATGTTACTTTTCATTTACTCTGTAGAACATTTGCACGGTTTTTGGGTTCCTGTCTTGAAAACCTCCTCTGTAGCCCTTTCTTTTAAAGCGTTTTTTTTAAGCATGTGTTCAGGCAGAAGCAAGTGGATGGCATTTAAGTGATTGGCTAAGCTCTGATCTATCTTGATTTATTCTTTTCTCCTGCTCTCCCTTTCAAATGGTGAATGGAGACAGTAAGTTAATGTCATAATATTTCAAAAGGGAATTAAAACAGCTTTTAGGAAATTGAAGTATGTTCCGCTATACTCTGTTGTAGAAATTTACATCAGGGACTTTGCCTTTGGACGTGAGATATTCACTGACTGCTACTTTCCAAGCCAAATATGGTGGACCTTTATCTATGGGCGAGCTACAACAGCTTAACTGAGTTGGCACATGGAGCGAGGCAGGTTTCACTCAGCTGAATTTAGGTGAGGCTCATAAACTTCGATGCTATGGGTAGGTGTGCTAGGAAAGTCCACGTGTATGTTTGCAGGGGTCAGCTGAGAGATTTGTATATTGAAAATGAGGTTCAGAAAAACTAGTTGGTATGCGGGCTTTGTTTCTTTTTCCTTTTGAAGAGTATGTAGTGGGTGTAGCTCTGGGGCATCCAAAGGGCAGAGTGTCAGGGCACACCTCTGGTCAGAGACAGGTTAAAATCTCACCTGGAGATTGTAAAGCACTTCCTTGCCCTCTTTTCAGTTTGCCTGACATTCAGCCTTCCCTCAGCTCTCACCAAGCCTGCTTGTGTTACTGGCTAACTCTCCCCTTCCTTCATGCTGTTCTCCTCAAGTGAGCATCTGCTGAAATCCAGCTCCCGCTGTGCCTCGCATTGGTGCTTGCATGATGCTGCTCTGTCTCCCTTATTCAACCTGCTGGCCTGTTCTAAAGCTCGAGAGTGATCTTAGTATCTCCAGTGCTTCTGAAGACTTTTCCATCCTGATCTCCGTTTCTAAACTTCCCTTTTGCTGCCTGCAAGCTCTCCCTGCCATGGTTACTTCTGGCGTGCTGTCCCCCAGTGCTGACAGCACTGAATATCAGTGACAGAAATGGCTTGTGGGCAGATGGCGTTTGGTTCCTCCTTGCTGCTTTCCACAGGGGCAATGGCTGGTGCTTCAGGGCAGAGGATTTTGTAGCATAGCTTGGATATGCACTTCAAGTGAGAGCAGCGGTGACTGTGTGGACACACCACTTTCATGGTTTCTCAACCAGACTAATCCTTTAACTGAAAATTTCAGTTTAATACGCACATCTGTACATACAGATTAGCCCTGGGTCATTAGCTTTCTTAAAGAGGAAACATTTTAAGTTAAAGAACATAATTGGTGAGCAAATATGCATGGTATTTTGCAGTTGCTAGTTTCCAACCTTGCCCTTGATTCTGCACATGGCTGAAGATACCAGACCCATCTGGTAAAACATCACACAGGTATTTAATAACACAGCTTATTCCATCTTGAGTGCCCAGCACATGTGCAAAATCTTTGTCAGAGTGGGACCAGTATGCCAGTATGGCCTGGGCTTCTGCATCTCGACAATCCTAAAACACATTGAACAGGCTCTGCTATTCATCAGGGTTTGCAGTGAGCAATAAGTGAGACTGTGCTGAAAGATTAGCTCTGTGTTTTTCATAATGGGACTTCAAAATGCCTAAGAGGAGTATAGGGCTTCATGCTTCTCTCTTGACATGATGGTCTTGTGTGTATGAGAGCTCACACTGAACTGTATTAAATAAGCTGAGAATCTGAACGTTTCTTTATTATTCAAAATAACTTCACAGGGGCTTTGCTACTTAAAAAAAATGTGAGATTCAGATGTATACTTTGTACCTTTCAGTATTTGTCAAAGATTAAATTATCACAGCCAGCTATTAGACTACTGATCAACTCTTTAAAAAAGCATACCTGTTTCAGCTTAGGTAAGTGAAATAGCCACAGCATCTGCAAATTTCTCCTGTGTTGCTCTGTATTTGGTCTGAAAAAATTTCTGAATACTGAAGATCCTGAAGTACAAGTCTTCTGTTGTTTAAGATCTTAACTGGAGGCAGTTAACACATTTGTAAATGATCTTTATATATTAGGTTTCCTTTAAATTTTGGGTTGAATTCAAAATGATTTTGTGGGGATTTTAAATTCCCCAGCAGTTCAGAGCTGTGACCCTCAAGTTTTCTTATACAGTGGGCTCAGAGATTTACTGATGTAGGGCTGATAACTTGCCTTTATTTCCAGAAGGGTATAGCCCAAAGCAGTTCGGGACAGTGCACCCTACACAGCAGAGAATGACTTAGGGTAGCTGCAGAAGTAGGGTGTGGAAAGAGAACGGTGCCATGGACATCGTTTGGGTGTAGTTTTATGCTCGGTGACTCTCTTTATTTGTCTGTGTTTCCAAGTGTGTGGCAAGATTCCTGTTGGTTTCATGGGCTGTTTGATCAATCTCATTTTGAATAAAATAGACTAGTAAAAAACCCTCAGAGCAATAAATGGAAAAAGGGCATTTTTCCTGAAGAAAATGGGGTATGTGTTGCTTCTAAAATGTTTTTTTCAGAAATACTATAGGTCTCCAAAGAAGCTAATTTTGAATTGAAACAATTTTGCATTAATGAACAAACTCTTTTAAAACAACTATATTTTATTTCTGCTTAATATGTCTTTTCTAGTTTTGCTTTTCTGGTGAGTTAGTTTATTCTTGTCTTTGTGTTCCTTTTTGGTTTTCGCTTTTGCAAAATACCAGAAAACAGTGAAAGTGTGGGAAGGGAAACTAGTAGGAACACATAATAAAAAAAAGTGAAAATTAATGTGTGGGGTTTTTTTTTTTTTTTTTCAAAATGGCTCAATGAAACTTCATTTTGCACAAAAAATGCATGCTGATCCTATGCACTGGCAAACCAACCTGTTTTCTGTTAACAATGTTGTCATATAACACACAAAGAGTCATAAAGCCAAACCCGGTGGGACTCCAAAATAGTCCCCACTCAGAGATTCACCACCCGTACAGAGGACCTTGATGGCTTTTAGTTTATGTGGATGTTGATCTTTTCTGTCATGAAAGTGAAAAGGTATAAAGGAAGGGTAGCTCTGCTGATGTCAGTTCATCCATGCTGAGCTGTGCTGGCTGAAGAGCTCTCCTGGGGGTTTTGGTTAATGGATGAGGATAGCAAGGCCAGGCTGGATGATGAACGTTTACAGCTCTTCTCTTATCCTCTCTTCTCCCTCTCCCCCCTCCAGTGCATGACTGGCTAAGCACTCTTGAATGGACTGCAGAATAAGCACTGACATCCGTTTTTAGGTAAACTGTCACTAATTTTAGTTTGTCTTGAACTGTCATGGTCAGTAAGGAGTTTGGCCAGTCACGCATCAGCAGCAGATGTCCGGGACAGTGGTGCTGCCAGCCCTCCCAGTACACGATCCTTCTTGTCAGTCCCAGCTGTTAGCTCTACCTCTTCTGTCAACCCAGGGGAGAGGATAGGTCGCATTTAGGATGCTGCTCTGTGATCCTCATCAGCAGCCTCCCACAAGATCATTGTGTTCAGCGGAACTGACGTGCTTCTGTCTCTTCTTCTAGATTGCAGTTTTGGAGGAAATACATACAACAGCTCTATGAAATGGCACCTCCCTGGCAATCCCTGTGTTACATACCAGTGCCAGGTAAGGATGTTAGCATCGTGCTAATTGAGTTGTGAGCTTTTCCCATGAAATACTGAGCCTTTTTTTATCCAACCCAAATAACCTGAAATATTTTATACCCAAAGCACAATATGGACTTTGCATTGAAAGTAGTTTAACTCCACTCAGACGTGGCCAGCTATAACCAAACATTCAGAATGATAGGTTTTATATGACTTGAGTACTGTGATACCCAAACATTGCTGAAGGAGAGGTACACAGCCATGCCATTTCCTGCTGCCTTGACCTTGAAATAAGTCCTTGTTTTTTCAGCATGCTAAGCCTTTTGTGAGATACAAATTATTATTTTAGTAATGGGTCACTTTTGTGCATATGTGTCCATGGGTTTTACCTGGGATGTTCTTTAAAAGAAACCCACAACCAAATCTTCTTTTCCTGGGCTCCTATACTGTTACCAGGGTTGCATTTTTGGTAGCTTGCCTATCTGCAACCATAACATTTGCAAGATTGTCCATTTTCAGACACAAACCAAGTACTTATGTAGGGAATTTTGGTTTCTGTCTGTGAATAGGTCTGCTATTTTTGCTGACAATTTGATCTGGTTTTAATAATAATACTCAGGCAGATAATAAGAATTGCAGCTGTTGGAAAGAGGAGAGGTGAATGAGTATGAAGAACTTACACAAAAGGAAAAGAGAGTTTCAAGATTTTTCTCTTTTTCTGTGATACCTCTGCTCTATAAAACCCACCCACGAGAATGAAGTTGGAGCAGCAGTATTCTGTATCGTTGCACTTAATGAAAAGATACAATGTGAATTTAGATACTTTTATCACTGTTCGCTACATGAAATGAGCAGTTCTATTTTTGCCTGTTTCAGTGTCTAAATGCAAAACTGGTTGATCCTGTTTACCCTAGATCCACATATTTAAAAAACAGGTTTCTTTGCCTCCAACTGCAAAGCTGAAAGTGGCAAAAAAAAAGTAGCAGTCTTTGGTGCACAGATCCTCACACCCAGATTTGTTCAGGACAACTCTTAACTTCTTGAACAAGAAGTACAGGAAATGTTACTTTACTAATACTTATCAGGCAAAGCATCAAAGATAAGCGTCTCCCCTCTACAGAACAAGATGCCTTTATCTGCTTTCTAAGCCTTTTTTCCTCCAAGGGGAGAGGGATGAGAATGCCTTGCTTCTGGCCTGTTTTCACCAGAGCTGCATGGCAGATTACTGAGGCTAAGGATTCCTGATAAAGCAGGATTCCTTTTCCTAAGAAGGTGCTTGGTTTCTTACCTGATGCATTTGAAGGCAAATCCTGTGTCCGGAGTCAGGGAGACTCAAGTGGATCTTTTGACTGTGGATTAACCTGGAATCATAATACCAGGCAGCAGGTACAGAAAGAAAAGAGGTTTTGAAATCCAGTTTTGAACTCCACAGCATGCGCCAGACTTTAATTGTACCGCTGGTAATTGTGGATTTTTGCTTGTTAAAGCAACCACAATGCTAACAATAAACATGTCTGATCTGCTTCTTTTTCAGGAAGGAGTGATAGTAGAGTCAGAGGTACAGTGTGTTGTTCATTGCAAAAACCCTTCCAAACTCATGGGAATGTGTTGTCCTGTGTGTCCAGGTGAGATTTCATGGGAAGATGCTGTTTCACATGTGCAAGTGTTTCTAATGATAACCATCATTACCTGGGGAGGGTGCCTCTAACTTCTTCATTATACTTGACAAGTTACTAAAATGTGGGCCAGTGCCTCAAGAGGCACTAAATGACACAAGAGCATGCTTAATATTTTTTTAATAGAGGACATGCAGACTAGGGGGTATCCACAGACGTATTTATATCATTTTTCAGAGAGTCTGTCAGCTGGTTTTGCCTGGCTGATGACTGGGGTTTTGTTAGAATGGGAAGTATAAGAGGAATCCTAAAAAAGGAGACTCACTTTTTGAAACGGAGTAGGAATATGTTGCCTTTGTGAAGCATGGTGGCAAAGTAACATGGTTTTATAGGCTAATTTGATTTTAACAGAAGTTTTGTAGGTAAGCACTGCTCCATTCGTGATATAATGGGTTTATTATATTCTAATGAGTTATAATTTCTGCCAACATCTAATTTATATTATATTTATATTATACTTGGGGAGTAAGAATGAGTAGTAAAAAGCAAGCAGCTTAGCAAAGTGTTTCAAAGCCACTTTTGATGGAAGGCCTGATTTAGCCTCAACTTCATTCGTGCAGATATATCTGCTGGAGAAGGATGCTTTCTTTCTCCCAGATATCTTTGCAGGAAAGATATTTGGGGGTTCTCAAGGCCTTTGAAAAGGCTTCAGAAGTTATTTGTATCGGAGAGGATGGTATGATTTACTTTTCATATTGTCCTATGGTGGGGTGTGTTATAGAGAAAAGGCAACCTGCTATCCTGAACTAAACTTATTCAAATGCTGTTTTTTCCAGGTTGTATATTTGAAGGAAGACTTTACAATGAAGGAGAAGAATTTAGGCCTGAAGGCAATAAATGTACCAAGTGCTCTTGTATTGTAAGTATTTGCCTTTTGGCATTGTGTCTCCCTGCATGAACTTCAAAAGGCACATTATTATTGCCATAACAAAGAAAAAGTATAAGGAATTCAACATTATTATGCATTCTTCTCTTGGAGTTTAGGTTTCTGTGGAAGATTTTACTGCACTAATACATTATATTGCTCGTATTCTGAATTTATAATTTTTTGTGACCTTACACTGTACTCGGATAGAGCAGGATATTTGGGAGAGGGCTGATGTGTTAAATTGGTGCTTTTTTTTTTTTTTTTTGTGATGGGATCATGCAGGAGGAGGCAGAAATCTTTCTGGTTTTCATCTATTGATCAACATTTATTAGATGTTTCTTTAAACTGATCTTTCACAAAGATTCCTTTCAGCTATATGCAACAAAGGCCTTTGCTCTGAATTACTGAGCGAAAGGATGAGGGTAGCCTTCTTAGGCTGTCCCAGGTGGATTTTTCGCTTGATGCTTAATGAAAAGGTTATAGTCTGGATTTTACCCTTGACTACCAACGATATAGAGAGGAAGTAATAATTGCATCCTTCGGGTGATAAGCACAGGCTTCTCTTTCACTTCCATTAGGTTAAAAGATAATGCTGTGTGAGTTGGGGCAGATAACTTTGACTTTATTGGTGTGATCTGTGAGACGAGTAAAATGCAAAGTTCAGATCACTGCTTTTGTTGCAATCGATGGGCTGGTTATCAGCAGAAAATGCAAGGCCAGGGAATTTTACATTTCAGTAGAATGCCAAGAGTTTTGTCAGTACCAGACACAGCTCTCCCGCTTCATGAAAATAAAATAAGGGAGAACAATAGAGTAAAAAAATTAATATGTATTTATACATAGGCACATATATTTAATGAAGCTGCTGCAAAGAACTTGTACTGTTTTGTGGGAAAAAAAAATCCTGGTAATCTGCAAAATTAATTTACACTAAATCTTCACTGCTCCTCTGGAGAATTAGGCTGCTCAAGTAATTTTGTTTGGGGTTTTTTTTAAGTTTTAATCCTGTAATAATGCACATATGGAGTCACATATGTCACAGTGATATATGCCCTGGGCTCCTGCTCTGCTGAATGCCTCCTGTCCCAGGCTGAGGAACATTGCTCCCTCTCTATTCGGTGGGTCCCCTTCTTGCTTCAGCTGTAAAGTACTAGCTTTACACTCCAGCTTTCCTTGGTCATGTTCCTCAGGGGAAGGCAGGTCTGAATGGTTGACAAGTCCGTGGAGACATACTTGGGTCTTTTCTGGTTATGCTTTGCTCTTTCATGAATACTGTACAGATGTTGCCTATTGCCCTGTTGTTGGTGTGCCAGTATCTCCTTGATCAACTTTCCTTGGTTGCCTAAATAACAAAAGCAACTTCTCTGGTGTGCCAAGAAGAGCATGGGAGGTGGGAGATATTTAGGGAGAGCAATATAAAGAAATATAGGAATACAGAATACAGGGTCAGGCCTGAGGGTCTTTCTTTGACAGTTACCAGTCTCAGCTACGGTAGAAAAGGAAACATATCAGTTACTGATAGTAAGACATTTAAACCCTCAAGCAAGAGGCTTAATGATTCCTTCTGAGAAAGAAGTATGATAGTTTTGGTTGTTAATGACATCTGTATAAAATGTCCAGCTCTAATTCTGAATCTTACCAAGTGCAAAAGAAATGCCATCTATGTGTAAGCCACACCTGACCTATCCCCTTCCCTCTCTCTGCAATGCCTTTTTTTACCCTCTTGCCTGTTTCCTTCAGAATTTTGGCCTATGCTAATTCCTATGTAAATTAAATTCAAAGGAAATAACAGGGGCACCCTCAGGGCTGTGACAGTGGTTTGCTGCCTGCTTTATCCATTCCCTGTTGGCAGTGGGTCCCTAGTAAATCTCTTACCTAAGCAGTTGGGGGATGCCTTATTTAAAGATAGGTGTATCTAGTCATGCAACGTGATGGGAAAAGGCTTGTGATGTGCTGTAACTTGTGCAGGCTTTAACAGATGAAAGGTAGTGCCTCACCCCAAATTAGATTTCTTCTGGATTTCAGATTGTAATTATTTAGCGAATCTTTTGCAGAAATGTGGCAGAGGAAGTGGCACAAATGACTGCCAAGGTATTTTGGGGGCGATGGGGTAAGGATTCAAACCACTCTTACATCAGGGTGAATTCTGCATTTTACTTGGGAGCAAGCTTTTCTAATGGTGGATTATTCTGGTCTCCATAGGCCATCACTGTCCCAGAGATAGCTCAGGGTGGGACTACAGGTAGCGTTGAACAGGAAAAAAGTAAAGAGGGATGGCTGTGGTTTGTTTTCCTGGAGAGATGCAGGGCTGTCCTGCACTCACTAAATGTATTAAAATGAGGAATGAATTACAAAAAAAAAGGAATTTTACCCTTGCAAAATGATGTCCTCAAAAGTCAGGACACATCAGCAGGCCTGGACTGTGGGGCTCAGTCTTTGGTAGTTCAAATTTGTGGTATTTTCAGCTCAAAGTGCCGCCTGTTAGATACTATTGAGCTCCTAAAGAATGCTAAATGGTTGTTAAGATGTTATTTTGCTGTTGTTTTTAACACGCATTGCTTGTGCAAATTAGGACAAAATGGGGATCTTAGGAGCTGGGGATCCCTGTCTCTGTGGAGCAGGCTGGCTGACTGCAGGGCTTCCCTTGCACTCCATGGCCCTGAAGGGTAGGAAAAGCAACAGTACGGCTACATGTGCGCGAGTCGTTCGGTCCTTACCTGCCATGTGTTCAACTTGTTAATATGGGTTCTGTTTAAAGCTACTTGTAGTTCTAGTTATTGTCTACTGAAAACTGGACCAAACCCATCAAACTTGTTTCATGGAGGTCATTGAAACAACCCATTAGCTAGTAACTTTTGGGTTGCTACCGAGCCAGGCTGCGCTTGTGACAGTGAGGCAGAGATGAAAGGCCCTGTATTCCATTACTGCTCTCCTAAGCGAGCCGCTCCTTGGGGTGACTAAGATTTCTTGCTGAAAATGAAAATATATCACCTCTCACTCAGTGCATATTGTCTGTCAGGAATGAGTGAGCTGGCTTTTACTGACTCAGTTTCTCTGGGGAGAGGCATTTGTGTAAGAAAGGTGGACAGGATAATGGGGATCTCCTCACACCCCGGCTGAAACCCAGCTGTCTCGCAATAATTCATCTGTCTGGCCTGTTCCTGCTTTTCATGATAGGCCAGTGGCCTGTTCTAGAGAAATTTTGGATATTTTCCCTACCATAAGCACCTACTTAAATGAAGGACCGGCTGCTTTAATCAAGTGTTATTTCTTAGATACTACTTTTATGAGCTCAAGAGTGTGTTTCTGCTAGCACAGTGAGAGCACTTGGCTTACATGTTTCCTTTCCTACAGCCTGCATTAAAATAGTCAGACTGTGATTATCTTAAATGTTTTCATTTTCTCTTTTGATGTAGCTTGTTTGGGAAAAAAAAAATAGTGGAGAGGGAAGGAAAGAGAGCCAGGGAGGAGAGGAGGTTTGGCAGGAAAGTGACCTTGCGTGAGAGCAGTAACCATGGAGAAGCTTATCTTTAAATGGTAGTATCCAAACTCATAACTAGCCTCTTTTGACTCACACCGCTGTTACCCAGACCATGGGCGCTGCGCGTTTCGGCATGCGAGGCATGCAGCGGTACGAGGTACCACCATGCTGAGAGCGCACAGCACTATGGAGACGCCGCAGCCCAGGACCTGTCTTCCTCCACACCCCCGCGGGGAGAAGGGGAGCGGACCCGCTCGGGAAACGGTTGGAAGCTGGATTACGGCATTGCTGGGATGGCCGAGGGCTGGGAGTGGGAAGGGTTGCACCGTCTGTCTGTCCTGCAGGGAGGCACGTCATGGGGATGATGGGTGGTCACGCACGTTTGGTCCCCAAGCGGCATCGCTTCACAAAAGCAATCCTGAGCTCTTATCTGCTCTTCCAAAACGATTCAAAGCAAGTGAAACCCAAATGGCTGGAAGCAGAGCATGGGGGGCCCTTGGAGAGCTGAATTTAAAAGCAGCCTCTGCTCAATCTCCTTTGCATCGTCAGAGGCTTTTACACTGCTGCTCAAGTGTGCTCAGAGGGACTCAAGACACACACAGCTCCTGGTCTGCAGGTGTACTTGTGGGTCTGTGCAGGAAATGTCTTGTCATTTATGTTCCTGAGTGCTAGGGTGCAAAAACTGCATAATGAAAGTTTTGCACAAAGAAAAGGAAATCGCATCGAGAAAATCTGTTTCTAAATCAATGAGTAACAGGCGTTGAAACTGTGATAAGTAATGAGAAGCTACATATGTTAGTGTTTTGGACACTGAGGGTGGAATTCATCTTGTCTAGCTCCAGCCATTCAGAAGTAATCTGTCTCGTCTGAACTACTTATCTGGGCTTCTCTTAAGTTAATGGAGAGAGAGAGGTGGGATGGATTACTCTCTGCAGATGCCTATCTTCCTCCACTAACTGGGGGGGGTGGGGTGTGTGTGCTACGAAACTCCCTGGCCTCTGAGATGGCTGAAGATAGCCAAGATGGATCCTGCCCCTGAAGTCAGCTGGGAGATAAAACACCCTGATACTGCTTTAAAGGCTTGGTTTAACAGATATTGGGAGCTGCTGAAATACGTCCCACCACAATGGACTGTCGGGGCGGTACTCCAATCTATGGGGAAACTCAGGGGAACCTGCAATTAAATGTATCCTCAGTGAAGTTTGGTAGCAGAAGCTATGTCCAAATTCAAATTTCCATCCTCAGTGAAGTGCCAAATGCTGATCTTCCCTAATTTCCATGTACTCCAGCTCCTTTGATTCAGCTCCAAGATCCAGCAGACACTTCTGCCCCCACTTCAGGGGCTAAGAAACAGATGCAAAGAGTTGTAATCAGGGTTGGAAAAGCAAAGAGTTGGTCTTTTGGTAGGAGGAGTGTTCACTTTCTCAAAGTTAGTGATGTAAGTAGAAATGGTTGGCTTATGGGTGGATGCAAATGGAGAGCAGTAAGCATTCAGAAAAGGCATATGGAG